TTTTGCTTAAGGTCCAGGTCTGGCACTGATAACATAATGATGGTATGAATATTGAGGAGATAAGCTGTCTCTTTGTGTCCATGGAGATGTTTGGATGAGATAGAAGGGGTGCAAGCTGGTAGGTGACAACGTTGGCTTTTTGAGTTCGCATTTCTATTTCTCTGTCTATGAACCCGTTTTCAGAAAAAGTGCTGCCAATATATTTAAACTCTTTCACTTGTTTCTGTTGTTTACTATTGACATGGATGTTCAGGGGACTATGGTTTCGGCTCAATTTCATAACTTCTGTTTTTGATGTGCTTATTTTCATGTTGAATTTCTCACAAGTGTTGTTGAGTTCGGTAGTGTGATTTTGGGGGCTTTGTTGGTCGTGATGAATTAGACATTGGTCGTCTGCGAACAGAAATTCATGTAGGCTTTCTGGGCTTTGGTTTGCTTCTTGCGTTAATGTGTCCATACATATTATAAACAGGAGGGGAGATAGAACGTATCCCTGTCGTACTCCAGATCTTACTTTGAACCAGTGTGTATTTCCTTCCTTCGTTCTTACTGAGCTTCTTCTGTTGGTATATAGAGCTCTGACATTATCTAACAATTGTCCTCTGACGCCATACGTTTCGAGTGTCTTCGAGAGTTCTGCATTGTTTACTCTGCCAAAAGCCTTCTCTTGGTCTAAAAAGACGATGTTGGATTCTTTGTTGTGTTCTATTGTTTTCTTGCATATCTGTAGTAATGCGAATACGACATCCGTGCATCCTCTTCCCTTTCGGAATCCAAACTGAGCTTTGCTCAGATTTCTCTCTACAATAGGTCTTATGCGCTGCTCTAGTATCTTTGCATACATTTTTCCTCAGTGGCTTAACAATAAGATGTCTCTATATGCTGTACAGTCGCGTTTGTTGCCCTTTTTTTCCATAATGGTACCTCTATGGCTTTCTGCCTGTCTTCTGGGCATTTTCTTTGTTCCCAGGCTCTGTTGAAAATACGCCTCAGCCACAGTGTACCGGTGTTTCCACAAGCTCTTATGGCTTCCACTGTGATGTCATCTGGTTCTGGGGCTTCGTTCTTTGGGCTGGTCTTGAGTGCCTTTTCTATTTCACTTGGAAGTATTGGTGGATCTGTTTGATCACCATAGGATGGTTGGAACTCTACTTATTGTCCGTGGCAAGCGTCTGGGTTGAGCAGTTCTTGGAAGTAATTTTCCCATCTTTTCTTGATTGCATGTTTGCCGACAATGGTATTTTCCTCTTTATCATTTACAATGCATGTCGGGTTGTATGGATCTTTCCTTATCCGCATGCTCTTCACACTTTAAAAAAATTCTCTGAGGCTTTCCTTACAGATTTTGGTCAGTTTCTCGCCATATATTTTCCATGCATTTTCTTTAGCAGTTTTGGTGATTCTTTTGGTCTCTCTTCTCGCTTTCCTGTATTCTATATAGTCTTCTTCAGTCTTTGACTTCTGCCATTTCTTGAATTTCTTCCTTTTCATTCTAATTGCTTCTTTGGTTTCATCATTCCACCAGCATGTTGTTCTGCCTTTGTTTCCACCTATTCGTTTGGTGCCACAACAGTATTTTAGTATTTCTGACAGGGATTTTTTTAATAGTTGCCATTCGTCTTCTATGTCCTTGATCTCAGGTGACAGTTTAAGGTACTCCTTGGTAATGTCATCCTCGACTGCTTTCTTGATGTCTGGTTCTTCCAATTTTCTTAGGTTAGTCGTGGTTTTTCCCCTGTTTTTCTTTGTTTGCTTTACGTTGTGGGTTGTGAGAGTGAGTATCACAGGTCTATGGTCCGTGTCGATGATGTAGTTTGGAACCGCTCTCGAATCTTTGGCTGTATGTCTTTGTTTTCGGTGCATCAGGATGAAATCAATTTGTGAAGCATGGTTCAGGTCACTTAATTTGTACCAGGTCTTGATTTGGCTTTGTCTATGTTGGAAAAATGTGTTCGTGATCACCATGTCGTGCTCAGCGCATAGGTTTAGTATCATTTCTCCATTGCTGTTGCAGTTTGTATCTTTATCGCTGTGGGGTCCCAAGTACTCTTCCCATGGGGTTCTTCTTCGTCCAACTCTGCCATTTAAATCTCCCAAGATAAACATATTTTCTTTGTTCTTGATGGTGTTAATTTGGTCACTCAGGTCTTGGAAATATAAGTGTCTATCTTCCTCTGTATAGCTGTCGTTACAGGGAGCGTATGTTTGGATGTACGTAGTTGTTTTGCCACCCTCTATGAGTTTTATGCTCACTATTCTCTCGGAGATCTGATTGATTTCATAGATTGTATCCATTTTGGCTGGGTGTATGATGAAAACTACACCATGTTTGGCTCTCTCATTTTCAGGTGTTGATGGATGTAGTGGTTAAAAATAAAGTGTTTTTGTTCCTACTGTAAAATGTAAAAACTCAAGTGACAAAAGTTGTGCTGCTACCCCGCGATATGTGTTTTAGCGCTTGAAACTGACTCGCCTTTAAAAGGGTTAATCTTAAAGAGATGGGGCTTCATAGTTCGTACCCAGTATCGTTTTACTGTATACTATATCAAACCTCCTTTTGCTTCTATCTCTGCCTAGGGATTGTGAGAGCATCTAGTGGTTTTGACGAAAGCCTCAATGTAGGTAAGTACGCTCGCAACTGAAAGAGGCATTGCAACAATTAAAATGATTTTATTTATTTTGGAACTTAGATAATTATGCTTAAAATAGCACAAATAGATATTAGAAACGCTAGTTAGTTTCTATTGGTTCTATTGTGTTCAAAGAACGAACAGTAGCTGATGTGAACTGATTTTATGTCTATTGTATTAGTTTAAATGACACGAAATGACCAGCAACATTAGATTATTTTTGAAGAAGAGTTGGACTCCATTTCTCAATTTTTCCAACCACAAAATTATAGATTCAGTATCCCGACTGTGCTATTTTACTCGAATATTCGGTCACATCAAATCGTTGGTTTTGATTTACGGTACAACTGTTCTAGAAAGCAAGCTGCATCATTTTATTCTCACCCCAATTTGTTCAGAACAAACAGCATGGACTTATAGTACACGAGAGGCTAGTCCTCCTCTTATTTTAGTTTTAGTTCTGTTTTTACGGCGCTCGCTACTGCATAAGGTCATATGAGCGCCAAGGGGTGGATGTCAACAGAGAAGTCCATACAGGGAATCAGGCTTACTCTGCTCACCTCTCAAGCTTCAACAGCACAAAGTCTTCTTCGACTATCAAGGCACCCCACAAATAACGGGTCACAAGAGTGTGACAAACATACAAAACAAGTAGAGGAAAAATGACGACAGTAAGGATTAGGAAAGAAAAAGCAGCAGTTCCCTGTGCAGTTCAGACAGTGTGAGCATGACATTGATGAATCAGCTTATTTACAATTCTACTGTACATGAGAACATATTAATTTCGCCCCTTGGGAATGGCCTAAAGACACTTGAATCAGTAGCCCCGTCACGGGGGGGGGGTCATTCCTCTTTTAAATTCAACCAAGTTTTCAAAATCTCAAACTTCCCTGTAACTCCACTGTTATTTAACTATTTGCGTACAAAAAAGCGCCAAACTGAGTAGAAAATTAATGAAACCAGAAATAAACGTATAGAATGATTTCTAGATATGATTGATCGACTGGAGTTTGGTAGATTCGGTGTGTTAATGTTTAAGAACTTGTAAAAATGACACCTTGAACTGTATGCTTCTTAGAAAGTTGAGGTAGTTTCAGAATGCTAGTGGCGTCGGTGGCCTAGTGGTTAGGCTACCGGACTCGTAATCGTGAGATCGTGAGTTCGGGAGTTCGAGCCTCAGCTCGGTCCGACGCAGTGTCCTTTGGAAAGGCACTTTACACGAATTTCTCACTTGGCTCGGTCCTTTCGGAGATGGACGTTAAACTCGGAGGTCCTGCCTCTTAAATAATCTAACAGTTTTGATAGAGGCGTTAAACCTATACCATTTCACCATTTCAGAACGCTATCTGATCTGCCGGGGTAATAATATAGAATGTTAGGCGCATAGAGCTTGCTGTTGAGCGGGAATTTGCGAGAAACAAATGCTATCTATTAGAATTATGATGACTGTAAACAACAGAGTGCTGCCGTGAGCCAGCGAAACTGAAGTGCTGTGTACTAGGAGTTAATGAACTTTCACTTTTTCCTCAGATGAAGATGTCTCCTACGATAAGATAAGCATAAAGGACTTGCCCCCGACCTTCCAGCAACAAATAGACTATCTCCTCACCTCTTCAGAACGCCTGCAGTTCAAGCAATGCTTGAGGGAATATGCTAGAAACCCGTGAGCATTTGGTTTTGTTGTGCAAATGTAGTTGTTGCTTTTTCGACGATGCGAATTCATCATCATCATCATCATCATCATCATCATCATCATCATCATCATCATCATCACCATCATCATCATCATCATCATCATCTTCATCATCATCATCATCATCATCTCCCTCGTCATCTTCCTCATCATCTTCCTCATCATCTTCCTCATCATTGTCAACAACAACAACAACAATAACAACAACAACAACAACAACAACAACAACAACAACAACAACAACAACAACTTTTCCATGCTGCGTAACTTTCGGAAAAGAGTAAGAACATTGCCGTTGATTTCTGCAACAGTAATTACTAGAGTGACGTTAGGAATGCCATATAAATCTAAAGACAACTCTACTCAGGTCAAAAGCTTTCAGACGGGATAAAAAGATTATGTTCGACTATTATACAATTAGATTTGAATTTGAGCAAGAAACGTGACCAATAAGAAGTGAACATAACCACAGTAACAACAACAATAAGATCAACAACCAGAAATTCCAGAACAGTACAATCAGCAATAAAAAACATTAGACACCCACTAAGGTGGTATATTATTTTAAATCAAAACCCTTTACATGTCTCTAGCGAGCTGAGCAATCTTGTGAAAACTCTGGAAGCCATGTTGGATACTCCGTCCAAAAAGATTCTGTGGAGAATGGTTTTATCGAGAGGTGATGAAGGGAAGGCTTGATGCTCACGGCAGACAGTCAGGTTTGTTCTCTCTTTCCCTTATTGCAGACTTCTTCATAAATATTGCTTTTTGGGTAGAGTTTAATAATAATAATAATAATAATAATAATAATAATAATAATAATAATAATAATAATAATAATAATTGCATTTATATAGCGCATATCCATGCCCAAGAGCATGCTCTATGCGCTTTACAACTCATTGAGCGTAACTCAAAGATAGCGACGATAGAGGTTTTAACGTGAAAGGAAAGAAGGCTCAAACCACACCAGAGCATACGTCAACCCCCCACACAATTAAGATAGAAAGTTAAATTTACTTACTTGCTCTCTCCCTATACCGTGAGGCACACACGGCGGAAAGCGGTTGACGTTACGCTTGCCTGTCCCTGACCACCTTTTTGCAATCACGGCACATCTAGGCCCCGGGTGATTGCCTCATCCCTAATTATGCTTCCGTAACTTCCAGTTGGTCTACCTCTTGTTCTTTTTCCAGTTGGTCTCCAGTACCAAGCTCGAAAGGACAATCTTGTCTTCGGAATTTTTAGAACATGTGAATATCTCCACCTTCTCCTTTTTATGGTCGTATTGATATCTTCAATTTCAGCTCTTTGCAACACTTCAAAATTAACTGTAATACATTCATTCCATTGTATAAGTTAAATTCTTGTTTGGAAGTTTTAAAAAATCTTGTTGAATTGCTTTATGGTTGTTGTTGTTGTTGTTTTTTTGTTGTTGTTTTTTCTTGGGGGGGGGGGGGGGGTCAATATCTCTGAAACATACATAAGTATGGCCAAAACATTTCCATAATATATTTTTTAGAAAGTAAAAACCTTGAGATAATTAAAGAGACTTGCTACTTTGACCCTGCCCGTCAGGGCCAATGCGGTCTGAGTGGGATACAAAATCACGGCAAAGAGGTTGTGATTCTGGATTGAAAAATTTCCCGACAATGAATGGAACTCTCGCCATCTGAAAGAGCAATTCAGTAGGTATCATGCTGGACTCTGAAGACGATGGCCCAGGTTTGAATCCCATATAAGGAAATTTGAATGAATTTTGGTTTGTTTTGGAGAGGTGTTTTTTACGCTCTCCGTCTGTTTAGCTCGTTCTTATCGGAGATGAACATTTGATCCGGGAGTCCCGCCTCTTCAGTTGCCTAACAGTGTTGAAAAGGGCGTTAAATCTAAATAATAATCAATAACCGCATCTTCTGTATGCAACATCGAAGAGCCTTGATATATGGACCACAGGTGCCGTGGTCTGAATCTAACGTTTTGCAACTGTCCGACAAGCCACAGAGAAGGATGCCGACTGAAGAGCAGTTCACCCGAGTCGTGGGAGTGCTGCTCACAACCCAGTTGTGAACCTTGGAAGGGCAATGTGTTATATCCAGTGAGTGCACATTGCCCATCTGATATATTACAGCCATTTGATACCGTTGGGGCCTACAGACGAAGGAGAATGACTTCATGGAAATAAGTTTGAATACGAAAGTTTACACTGGTTCCTAATGCAGAAGCTTCCATACAGAGAAATAAAAGAGCTGTTTCAACATGTGACCTGTTTATCTGACTTCAACTTCTTTATTTATTTTTTTCCCCAAATTTTTGGTTACAGCTTCTGGTCTCCTGAATCTCACATCCATGGATTCCTATATAGGATCTCTCGAGGCAACAGGTGGTGATCACATCAGTCACACCAACACGGAAGAGGACATCCTTTGTGGTAATTGCTCTCTTCACAATACTTATTTGAGTGAAAAACTGCGCGGTTCTTCAAAACTTTTGACTGGTATTTAATAAATGTGCCTACGTGACATATGAAGGGGAACTGAAATGTAAAGCTCTAAAAGGTGGAATAACAAAATGTAAACCTTTATATAAAGTTACAGTCAAAAGTCAAAACGACCCTCCAGAGGTTGAAAAAGGTTTGAGTTTTTTTAATGATCCAACAGTGAAGTGTTATATCCGATAAATGATGAATGATGTTGTATAATTTACTCATGAAACTGCAAGACACGATGAATAATAGTTTTCGTTGAAAGACGATATTGTCTTGTCTAACGACATTAAGACGCTTGGCGTTATAACTGAGTACGTTAACAGACAGGCGAGGGGCAAGTGTCGCAATTATTTACATCGAGCCTACTGCGTTTTGCTTTTAGCTTTTGCTTGTTTGAGTTGTTGTTGTTGTTGAGTGTGTGTGTGTGTGTGTGTGTGTGTGTGTGTGTGTGTGTGTGTGTGTGTTGTTGCTGTTGTTGTTGTTGTTATTGTTATTGTTGTTGTTTGTTGTGGGTGGATTTATTTTTTTTGGGGGGGAGGGGGCGCAGTGTTGTTGCGGGTGGTGTTTTTTGTTTAAATGTTTTAGTTGTTGCTGATTTTGCTGTTGTTATTCTTCGGAGAAGTGCTGTAACTGTATATATTTAGCGTTGTTTGCAATGCTATTGCAACTACATGTATTACTACAACTGCTGCTATTGTGGCTGTACTCTTGAAATCCAAAGCAGCTATTTTCAGTACTCTCGGCATATAAGAACCAGCTCACTGAATCACATTCGCATTCTCTTCAATGTAACTGTTATGTGCGCCTCTATCGACACAATTTAAATCATTTAGGAGGCGGGCTTTAGACCCTGCTTATCAGGGTCAGCCTTTGCTGAAACGGATGACAATATCCCAGTAGAAAGACCGAGGTACTCGATCAAAATTCTCTCCACTCAGGAATCGAACTTGGGTCTCCTGCGAGCGACAGCCAGGTGCCTAACCACTACACTACAGACGCCGGGATTCTTATTCTCTTTTCATAACCTTTGGTCCTACAGGAACCGCACGGACTCAAGATGTCAAGTCGGATTCGGTAAGTAGTGTGCACCCCGCTGACATCACAGGCTACGGTGGTGACATCTAGCATGACTTCAAATTCAAGCGTTTATCGTAGAACAGACTCTAATTCAGCATTACTTACACAGCGTAGTATAATTGTACAAACCTTATAAAACAGTTTAATTAACTCTTTCAATACGCAAGGGATTCCACAATTTTACGCACGCAGGCGCAAAAGGCGTTACCTCAAAATGACTATAATGTAGTCAAATATTGATGGATTTGTTTGTGTGAGCACTCAAGCTATTAGTTTATGAACTGAAAATCACAATATGGTTGTTTGTTCGATTTTGTTGCTTTTTTTATTTGTCGCAAAACAATATCCTTTCAGAAAGAAATTTATATGTGAATTTTACCGGCAAACGTTGATGAAAGGCATGAAAATGTAAATTTCCAATTTCTAAGAACACTCAAGCTTTCAAAATCACAAAACTTTTGGCGGCCATTTCTCGCACATTTTACCTCTGAATCACGCGACCCCCTATCGCCTTCAATTGCAGATAGGTGTTTTTCATCGAAAGCAAGACAAACAAAAAAACAAGCTTGAAGATAATACAAATAATTCCATATGTCCAAATATTGGCATGCGCCTCATTCCACCAAGTTGTGACACATACATGTATAGCCTTTATGTTTTGTCGTTGTGGGTCGTGAAGTTTCAGTTTGTCTGAGTACTTGTTTCTGTACCTTTTTCTAGCCGTTTTGCTTTGTATGGTACTAGTAATTTTGCTTTGCCGCTATATTTTTCATCTTTTAAAACAATTATATTGATTCCAACAAATGGAAAACGATGTTGCTGTTCATTGACGATTAAAACGATTCGACGAAACGATTCGACGGTGCCAACGATGACGGCTTTGATGATAATGCTGCTGCTGCTGCTGCTGCTGCTGATGATGATGATGATGATGATGATGATGATGATGATGATGATGATGATGATGACGACGAGGAGGAGGAGGAGGAAGACGACGATGACAACGACTGTGCTTTACATTTTGATTTGAATTGTGGCATGTAACTCTGTAACGCATAGGAACGCTTTCAATCGCGTCTTGTTGGCCCTCCGCAGCTTTCTCATATTCACTGTTCATAATTGTTCTAGTCCACTTTTGAAGACGAAGACGAAGACACGTCAGACGAATCCTCAGACGAAGAGCACGCAAGCCACAGACGGAGCAAGGGCAAACTGGCAAATCCCGACCCAGTCCTTCTCAAAGAGCTTGAGGAGACCAAGAGAGCTGTAGAGGAAGTGCGAGATGCTCTTCGGGCACAAGAGAAGAGTAAAGGTGCTTGAAAATATACACGAAGGGTTCCATTGCAAAACCTACCACGCGCCAAATTCAGGCATTTCTGGAAAAACCCTGACCATACAATAGTGTTATGATGAGGCTTGTAGTGAGAAAATGTGCTCAAAATACGCTGCATCCCTCGATTTTATTCAGTGTGATAAAATGGTATTTTGTTCATTCTTTTGTTTTCAGAGAATAAGTCAGGTTTTTCCCTTTTTTCTCTCGGTTTTGTAGTAAGTGGATATGATGTGTTTTACCAAGAAGCCCTTCACTTATTCTCTCAACTGGAAATAAAATAAACAATTCGCTTAAGTAGTCATCGAAACGAGATTAGACATGTAATCGTTAAAGAAAATCTCCAGATTATGTTCCGTAATTATTTACATTGTTTCAAGCATCGGTTGCAATAGTATTGAAACGTTTTTCAGTTATGCTATAGGCCTAAATTACAACAGTTGAGCAGTTGGGTATCTAATTGTTCGACCTGAAAAAAGAAGAAATTTTTAATCACCGATTGTTTAAGTCCAAAATTCTCTTTTCTAAGATTTCATAATTTCTTTTAAAGAATAATATTATCTGCCATGTTATCTTGTAGCCATACAATCCGGGACAAAATCAAGGACATGGTTATTCCGAGTATCGTATTCTTTTGACCTATATTGACTTGAATAGAGAAAAGAGAAGTCACGATGATGTCTGGGTAAGTAAAGTTATTTTCTATTTCTGTGCATTAGGGGGTTCTTCTGGGTGTACTCCCATTATATTAATGAAGCCGTAGAGGAGAAAATGGTGGGGGTGGGGGGTGGGGGGGGGGGGGTAGTGAACAAAACAATATACATAAATCAAAACATGTTAATGTGTGCCCGCATGTGCATATTAGGTTTGCACTGGCGTTTGTGTATAGGAGTGTTTTTGTACACGTAAAGTAGATTGTTCCTCATACGTGCATTTTTTTAACCAAGTTAAAAAGTCAGAATGTTAACCCTTTGAGGACATAGCGGACTTAATGTGTCCGATCAGCAGCAGACCAAAGGCAATGTTGCAGCGGCAGAATTCAAACCAACCATCATACGTGAATCAGAAACACGAAATTGCTTAGTTTATAGTGTACATTGTTGTTGCCAGCTTTTTCAAAGTTTAGATTAAGTAAACGGAATAGAAAAATATGTAAGAAAAACGAAACTATGTTTTTAAAGTACCCAAAAATAAACATGAATTTGCATAGTTTATAGTAAGCATATTGATTGTCTTGCTTTTTAAAGTTTAAGAAAACAGAACAGAAAAATATGTAAGAAAAACGAAGCTATGCGGTAGCGTCTTCAAGTGTTGTGGACTGACCAGAATGTGCGCCCTCGGTGAAGTGATGCATGTTTGTTTTGCCACCAGCTGCCAACGACAAGAAAGACGACGATCTCGATAAGGACCTGGCTTACCTGGATGCACGCAGGTTTATCACCATTATCCCTGTGGGCAACAAAGGAATGGAGCAACAACATCAAGTGCCTGTCTCAAGTCATGAGCTCAGCGACCAGCAATCGGGGAATCTAAGTAGAAAATCTCAAGGCACGGGAACAGCAACTAGGTCACGGAGGTCCAACTACTCTGTTAGCTTTAAGACTGAGCTTACTGAAGAAGGGAGTGGTGCTTACTCGGATGACAACACTGACAATGAAGAACAATGGGAGTGAGTATAATTTTTACTATAACTTATGCCAAAATTATTTGTCTGAGGTGGTGATTTCGTCTACACCGATGTACCATTTAGTCATCAATAATTTGAATGAAAGTTTGCCAAAGTCTTGTTACCAAGATTTCTAAAGGTTCTTGGGTATAAGCCGAAATAGTTTGGCAGCAACGTGTGTACATTACTAAAGAGCTCTTGACTTTTAGGGGTTGAAGGTGAATAGTTATCTACGTACCTTATACCTCAAAAACACGCTGCAGTCCATGTGTGGTGTCTTGTGGCCCGACCCGACACTGTTTCAAATAACGACCAATATTGAAGGATCTCTGGTTGACCATCTTAGGAATAAAGAGACTGAGATGATGGTGGCTTGTTGGTTATTTACCGCCCTTGCCACGTGAACGATCTGCAGCTAGAGTTGCCTTCCTTTGAATTCAAGATTGAAAAAAAAAAAGAGAAAAAAAAAGAAAAGAAAGGATGACCCAAAAGAGTCGCAGAAAAGAGTAGATACAAGGGTGGAATATGAGCAAAAGCTTGGACTGAGTGGCGATCTTTTGTTGAGGATTTCGTAGCGAGGAAGAAAATTCTGAGATGGTCTCGCTGTTGTCGAGGAGAAAAGGTATTGTCTTAGACAGGCGGGTGTCTTACACAGTGCCATTAGGATGTTTAAAAAAAACGGAAGGGAATTAGAAGTGGCCGTTTACAGGTGATTGTCTTATACAGGTGACCGTTAGAACAAGTTCGACTGCATTACCGAACATACGCAAACAGACACATTCTGACTTAACAGTCACAAACTCGCGCCCAAGACAGAATGGGAGAGTGACGGAAAGGCAAAGGTAGGGGAGGAGGGGGAGGAGAAGGGAAGGGTTAGAACTAGACTAGCCTCCATAGGTTGGGGGTGGGGCATAGTTTAACTATTGGGGGGGGGGGGCAAGAAAGTAACACTTTCCGTGATATTGCCTGTCGTAAGAGGCGATTAAATTTGCGTAGATCTGGCCTCCGAAAAGAGCCAGTTAGTGGAGGGCCAACTTCCAGAACCCGTAATATCTTTTTTTTAATTTATAGAAACATAAGCAAACATATTTATTTGTTTTGGCTTTGTTTTGTTGGGGGGGGGGGTTCAATCTTAGGAGACAGAGCAGGATCAATGAAGAGCAGTGAACAAATCCGAAAGGACTCTTCTGACCCACAACCTTCTTGATCGAACAGATAAATGGGGAGACATGGAATAGGATCATGGCATAGTATCCAGGGAAATGTGGAAAGTGTTCGTTCGTGGCCTTCACCCTGATCCAGGGGGAGAAAGGCATTGATGATGACGATGAAGTCCTAAGCTCATTCCCTAGAGTTCTCAGGCCTCTAATCATTTTACTTCAGAATGACAAAAGTGCTTCAACTGGTGTGCTCTATGGGCAAAAAAATGCGGTCAAACCTGCTTTAACGTCCACTCACCTGTCCAAGACAAGCACTTGAACAAACGACCACGCCCCACTCCCTACCCCCCTTGCGGGTTTTTTTCTTTGTTACACTTTTAATATACAGTCGAACCTGTCCAAAAGGACGACCTGTCTAAGATGAACACTTTCCTCCTCGACAAAGGTGGTCGCCGTGGACAGATACTATGATTGTACACTGAAATCTACATCAAGAGATGTGTTGTTTTTATTTTATCAACAGACCAAATCAGGCATCAGGGGAGTCCAGCCTGGCCCAGTCCTACAACCAGAGTGAAATGTCAGCCCTGCAGCAACTGGACGAGGCGATGGCAGACGAGACGTCCGATGCAGACGCGTCCCCGAGGGGTGGCGCTGTGGAGAAATCATCTTCGATAGTTGTTGAAGCGAAGAAACTTAGTGACACTGACAGAAGAAACCACGCGGAGGAGAGCATTAGGAACGGCCCTCCTCCGCCGCCACCTCCAGCGCCACCTTTACCCAGCAAAGAGTCAGGTATTATCAGCAGCAGCAGCATCGTCAACGTCATCATTGTCATCGTCATTGTCATCATCGTCGTCATCGTCACTGTCGTCGTTATCATCATCATCATCATCATCATCATCATCATCATCATCATCATCATCATCATCAACATCATCTTCATCATCATCATCATCATCATCATCATCATCATCATCCTCATCATCATCATCATCATCATCATCATTGTCATTGTTGTCGTCATTGTTGCTGTACATATTGGTGTACATATTGTTGTTGTTATAATGTGTTGCTGCTGCTGTTGTATAGAAGGAAAACACATGGAGACTTGGAATTTGGAGGAAATATGATGGGCTCATCATTAAAAATATGGTTCAATGTTTTACTACGTACAGGCTTCATCGTCATCATCATCATCATTATCATCGGCATCATCATCATCATCATCATCATCATCATCATCATCATCATCATCATCATCATTGTCACCATCATCATCATCATCATCATCACTATCGTAATCGTGGTTGTTACAATACATCTCGATATTATTATCTTGATTAAATATGATGAAATTGGCCTGTAGGACCTAGACCCTTCTATTTTTCACCTTGATCAGAAGCCCTTATGAATTCACCTACAGACCGCCCCTCCGGTAAACAAGACGACTACATCTGGTTCACCCAAGTCTCTCGTTTGACCCCAAAAAAGGCTGTCATTTACGCTTTGAAAATTATGTTTGCAAAACAAATACGTGCATTTTGTTTTGATTTTGTTGAAGATCACAGGGAAATAACCGAGTGACCACTGTCTGTAAATTCATCACAGGAATGGAAGACTCGAACGCCTTAAGCGTCAAAAGGATCAATTGGGAGAAACTGGACAATAGACGAATCGAGAACACTGTCTGGGAAAAGGTGATATCGAGCACACAATAATGTATAACATGTACATGTATTTTGTATTATGTTTCTTTCAAACATTCCACACACTATAATAATATTGTTTATATTTTTTCATCTGGTCCACACACTATAATAATGCTGTTTACATTTTTTTCATCTTGAAGCAAAATAAACGGTTAAGAGTTCGTAGGACTCCTTGGCACAGATAGTGTGTTTGTTTGCATGACTGTGTATGTATATATGCGTTTGTTTGTGTGTGTGTGTGTGTGCATGCAGGTATGTGCGCGCGCGCGTGTGTGTGTGTGTGTGTAAGTGTGTGTGTGTGTGTGTGTGTGTGTGTGTGTGTGTGTGTGTGTACTCGCGCACGTGTTCGTTTGTGTTCAAATACCCTCACTCGTGTGTGCAATTCACATGGTGTGTGAATGTATTGGTGTATAACCATATGCTTTTAAGTTCAAATTCAGTTTGCAAATTAATTTAAGATCCGAAAGATTAACTTTTTGTGTGGTTTTTTTAATTCCCTAGATTCTAAATCTTGGGGGGGGGGGGTTCTTTAAATGATCTAGATCTAGTAATTTGTAACATTTTGCTTTGATAACCATATCAAACAACAAATAGCAGCATGTTTTGACATGTTTTATCTCTGTTGTCTTTGACAGCTTCATTACCACGAGTTGAACGAAGTGATTCGCATTTTGGAGTTGGAGACACAATTCAGCACTAAGCCCTCTCGCAAAAGTACGAATATACTCTTTCCTAGATATTGCTGAGGGGTGTGCATCACCCCTTTTTATGATAATTTAGAATCACGAACAGAAATGTCATATTCAAAAACAGGGGAGGAATAAGAGTGGGCGGAGAAGGACAAGAACGAAGACAAGGATAACGAGATGGACGAGTCGAAGAAGAAGAAGAAGAAGAAGAAGAAGAAGAAGAAGAAGAAGAAGAAGAAGAAGAAGAAGAAGAAGAAGAAGG